TATTCTGCCTAGCTCAACTAGGGAATTTTAAGGGTGGTCCAGAGGTTCAACTTATAATCCTCCCATACTTCCAAACTTTTTTCAGACTTAGATACACACACACATAAACACACACACACACACACACATATACACACACACACACACACACACAGAGCCCCACATGGATTAAGGAAAGATAACGTATCTCCCAAATGCCTTTCTTCTATGTGGAAGCACTCCAGAAGTATTAGAAGGCAAAACATCTCCTCCTTTATGTTAACCATCCTCTCCAAGAAAAGACCGACAGATGTGTGAAGGAACTATTAAACTCAAGCTTATTAAAAAGCTAATTTTGGCCTCTACAGATAACTGGTCCCTAGAGGATGAATGTTCCTCCTTCAAAATCCATTCTTGGGGAGAGGTGATCTGACCATCTGCCTGGAAGCCCAATAAGGAGGAGAATTTGTTTCAATCAGAACTACAAGGAACACAGTTTACTTAAATAATCTTTAATGATGGATCATGCTCTTATTTCACAAGATTTCTAACAGCACAGACAAGCATAGAATTCATCCAAAGTACATAAAGTAGCCAAGTGAGAGGAGGATACATGTGAAGGGAGACCAGTTTCAATTCTGACACCAAAGCAAGAACTAACGATGTACCAATAGGCAGATTAATGGCAAGGAGAATGGAAGAAAATGAGAGATGAAGCAGGGAAGAAGTTTATGTTCCACTTGGGTTAAACTGATATTCCATTTCTTCATGGAACCCTGTGTTGGACCAAACCCTTTGATTGACAAGGCATCCATGCTGGCTAAAACAAATGCAAGACAGCTCCATTGCAAAATTGCTTGGTAGTTAACAAAATTCCAAGCAAAACACTGGGCGGGGTGTGGAATTACCCGATTACTTGCTGTGCCATGAAGGTGAAATGCCAACTGGACAGGCCTTAAAGAATGGCTCCTTTTTCTTGCACGCGCACTCTCAAATAATGACATGAACTGTAACAAGATGCTTCTTCCAGAGGTAACATTTAAAGAGGGAACTTTTTTAGTCTTGGTGCATCCATGCATATCTCTAAGCAGGCATCTGCTGTAACATGAGTCCTCAGATTTTGGCCACAGTCACCTAGAGCAGCCTTCAACTTGCTGCTCCTCTAGATGTATTGGACCACAACTTCCTGCAGCCATGCTGGTTGAGAATTATGGAAGCTTTAGTCCAATGTATCTGGAGAATACCAGGTTGAGGTAGTCAAGTTTAGAAGGAGGGCACCGCAAACTTCCAGTTCACTTTAGAAGCATTCCTTGCTATCTACTCACCTCAGATTTAACAAATGCATTTCCCATTGTACTAAAACTGCTTGCAATAGTTAAGATCAAATGTCATTGGCAGCAACTGGGAGCAAGAACTAGGAAACTGATTGCCTTTTTCATAAAGATACAACATTTGTCCAAGAACCTGAACAGAGTGAATAGATTGTGGGAGGGAGGCCCACATGTGATTTCCAAACTCTGACTGATGGCACAACAACTGTTTATAGGACGATAGTAGCCCAGTGATGTTAAATGTAGCACATGAATAGGATTCAAAAGCTGTCACAAAGCAGATCCCTTAGCCGGAAACTTCTATAGACTGTCTTCTGTATGGCTGGCCTTTCAAGTATTAAGAACCTTTCAAGGATTGGATCTACCTTCTTCCACGACTTAGTATGTATTTCTACCCACCTAGCTTCAAAAAGAGGAAGAGTTACTATCTGTTGTTTTCTCCAGATGTATTATCTACTCACACGCAAAAGGCTTCATCCTAGTCCCAAAACAACAGTGACTGCATGGAAAGCTGGCCAGGCATTTCTATGGCTTTTCTTCCTGCTATATG